ATATACAGTTTAATTTTCAAAAAATTTTGACTTTTTTTGAGTTATTTATAAGCCACTGAAATTATCGATTTTTATGAGAATTTTTTTTAAAGTGTCGATAAAAAAATGTTGGATGACCAAAATATTTTGAAAATTTAATACAAGGTTCCTTATGAATTGTTCTTATTGTAGCTAAAAAAAATTAAAAATCGTTACTTACAATTTTTTTTTATAAACGTTTATAGTTCAAATATTTAAGAAATCTATCGAAAACGCGAAAATTTGTAAGTCATTTTGAAGTTGAAAAATCATAAAATTTTTTGTGTTTATAACTCAGGATTAAAAATAGTACACTATGTTTTCCCTAAGTTTTCCTTTAAGTAGCTATAGTAAAAACTCGAAGCATCATTATAGGAAAAATTTTAAGTGCGTTTGAATTTTAAATTTTTACGAAATAGCGTAACGCTTACTATTCATCCTCAAACGATTTTAAATATTTGTTATTATTCAAAAAGTATAAGTCGTAGATACTTGAAAAATTTACCAGTTATTTAGATTGGCATTTTCTTTATATGATTTAGTTTTTAAAATATTTTGACTTTTTTTGAGCTATTTATAGACAACTGAAATTTTCAATTTTTTGAAAATTTTTTTTTGAAGTGTCGATAAAATTTTTTTGGCCCAATAAAAATACTTGAAAATTTAATACAAAGTTCCTCATAAGTTATTCTTATAGTGATCAAAAAATTTTAAAAATACATAGGCACAATTTTTTTTTATTAGCATTTGAAGTTCAAATATTGACAAAAATTCGACAAAACCATGAATATTTGCAAACTATTTTGTAGGTATAATTCATAAAAATTTTTGTATAAGTAGCTAAGAGTTGAACATTTAATACAATATTTTCCATAAATTTAGCTTACAATAATTATAAAAGAATTACATTTTGGTGTATTCAAGCGATTAAAACATAAACCACAGAAATTTAAAAATTTTAAATTTTCACATTGATTGTACCACAGATTATAATATATATATATAATAATCCTACAGTAAAATAATAAAATATATATACCTATATGTATTATACGAGATGATTATTGTGGTTACGAACTAGATATATTATATTGTTCTGTGATATTATGGTATTTCTTTTTGTATAATAAGATATCTACAATCATTCTTTTGGTACACCAGGTATATCTATGATAATATATTAAGGTATTATGAATTATGATAACTACATGCACTGTTTTTGGAAAAATTGATTAACCATGACTTTTGCAAATGCGTCCTAATTGAAAAATAAAATATTTGTTTTAAAATAGAATATATAACAATATTTAAATATAATATATAATATATCCTAGACTGACCAATCATCTCCGTTCAGAATCGTTTTTCGTATACAATAATACCTATCATTGCATTCAAATTTAATCTACCCTAGTCCGAGGTTCACCCCACTCCCATGTACAACAGAGCGGTACCTATTTTCCCGTTTTTTTTTTAATAAAAATATATCATTTTTTTTTTTTTTGCAAATAAAATATGTACATACAAAGAGAATAGAAGGACACTAACAAAATATAGGTAAAATGCATCTCTTCCCAAAAAATAAAAATATGTTTATGGCTATTTTATAAGTAACAAATGTCAATGAGATGCAAATCTAAATTGTATAAGTTCCATAATTACAAATTATTTATTTTTGTATGTATAAAACAACATGTAGATTAATAATTCGATAAATTAAATTTTCTTTAAAACAATTTTACTTAATAATTTATAGCTAAAAATTATGAAAGTCATCTCAAGATATTATGTATTCTTAAATTTATAGCATGCGCTGTGATAAACAAAATAATGTATTTTTAAAGTTTAAATTATGATGATAAACATGTATGCTACAAGATACACAAGTGTTTAAAAACACTTAAATTTATCAAAACTCTTATACAACTAAAATATTAAGCTAACAGTCTTCGCTTTTAAAAAAAATTTCTATATAGTTGTATTGAAGTATACTTTATTTTAAGCAATTAATAATGGTACCTACCTAATTCTTATTTTATTTCAATTTTTTTTGTATAATTTATTCTAATTATTCAAGTTATATGTCTTGTATCATTAATTCAATAATTTAATATTTTTTTCTTTTATTTATCTAAGTATAAATATATTTCATTATATTTATTCATTTATTCTAATATAGCTTTAAAATATTTAACTAGATATGTTTAAATATTTAATTGTTATATTATTACACTAGTCAAATAACCTAATTATTTTGCTTCGGAAAAAATTAACAAATGTAAAATACAGTGCTATATAGATGTACCTCAAATCAAATGTACTCAGTTCGTGTGTAAATCGGTATCAATGTACTTTGTACCTACTAGCTTTGTGAACTAATGCGACCGAGATGTGACTGCAACCTGTCACTGATTAGATTTAGCAATAGCCGCTTGAAAATAGGTCTTTCAACGTGACTCAAATTAACATGTTTGATGTTTTATCAAATGATAGTGAAATACTTTTTCTACTCAAATCATAAGGAACTAAATTAAGTTGATTTAAAAAAACTAAATATTTTTTTCTGGTATTCTCTAGTATGAAACAAGAATGTGAACTTTACATGGGTGTTTCACCTTGCAGAATATATTATTTTAAATTTTTCGTACATTCAGTTATAAAAATTTAAAAACAATTCGATGGAAAGAAGTAACTTACATGGATAAATTCCACCAGACACAGTGCTGCATTATACAAATGCAATATGAACTGAGATTTTCTAAAAAAATTAAATCAAATTTATCATTTGATATATTGTAATAAATGTATAAGCATCTAATTAATATATTTTAATATAGAGTACACACGCATATATTAGAAATATTGTGAAAAAGTTGAGAAGATATTTTATTGAACGAAGATAACGTGACATATAGATGTAAAATGTAGCGAAGTGTTTTAATTTTCAAAATCGCGTACCATTTAAACGATTTATATTATTTAGATATATTGCAATAAATGTATGAGCATTACACGTATATTACAAATATTGTGAAAAAATTGGGAAGATATTATATTGAACGAAGATAATGTGACGTAGACGTAAAATGCAGGGAAGTGTTTTAATTTTGAAAATCACGTACTATTTAAACGATTTATATTATACGGAATGGACGTGATTTGAAAACTCCTATTATCGATATAAAAGCCGACTTGTCGACAGACGAATTGACATGCAACAATCATAATATATATATATATATACACATATATGTGCGTCATACCACGGTGGGTGGGTACTTTGTATTTGAATCTCAACGCACGTTCGAGATGACTCTGAATACTGTTTTAACCGTCTCCAAATACACTTTTTGCCGCTCGTATTCACACTTTAAATGTAGGAACTAGATCTAATTTATTTTCGAAAATCGAGCAGCATATTTTAAACTATATATTAAGACGCCAAAGTTTATTAAATTTTATGTAACGTCATAAATCTTAGGCATGCCTGATGTACATGCACGAGCAGGAGTCACTAAGTTGGCTAAAACCTGATGAAAACCTCTAACTATGTATAGCTGCAGTGCTTATTGGATATTTTTGGTTCAAAGTGTTTTCATTTTTTTTCCAAAATATTATTTCTGATAAAGTATAAAGCTGATATTATGTTAACGAAATATTAAAAAAACATGCCGTATTATACTCGTTTTAATATTTTTTTGATATGACGTCCACATAATATTCCAACTCAATATTATGTACCCCATAAAATAAAAAATTATATCCTTAGTAAATGTTTATTTATATATGCTGTTCAATCAATTTTTTTCATCGTTCAATTTAACTATTTTAAAACATTCAAATAAATATTATAAATTAAATAAGAACTATTGAAATAATAAACTTTATCTATTTGTAGACACTTAACAAATATTTTTATATTTAATATTTCTATGTCTTGTATACATATCATTTTGCTTATAAATCAATTTTAAATATTTTTTTAAGAAAACAATAAAAACTTTTAGCCATTTTTACACACATATATATATATATAGATAGATGCGTGAATTTTACTAGGCATTGAATATTATCTGCACATATTGGATCGAACATTTATTGTTAGATTACATATTGATCTGATACCAGAGACCAGATCATAATACTTTAATATAAATTATGTAGATCAGGCATGCCCAATCCACAGAAGTATTCCAAATCCAAACGCCATAACCTATAAAACTGTAAATTATAAATTAAAAAAAAAAAAAATACATTCTTTTTATTCAAATTTTAAGAATCAAAAAATTTCTACATAATTATTCATGTTAACAATCTTAAGTTAAATCAATTTTGACCAATAATAAAGATAACATTACATTTATATTATATTTATTGTGGTAAGCATGTATCAGAATAAACAAAAAGAAATGTCGTTGAGACATTGAATGAATTATGGCTTACTGTTTAAGCATAAACTTCAAATGTAATCCAGACTTGAAAAAAGTTTGAGTACTGTTGACATTTATAGCACTACACGATCCACGGGCCGCATATAACGTTTTAATAAATTTTGTATAACCCCCGCTAAAACTGTATTGTACATTCTAAAATCTAACATACTACACTTTTAAAATAAATAATGTAAAATTCTTATGTTGTGGTTTTATTATGTGCAATATGTATCTAGTAATGTCACTTAAGAACTAAACATTTCTATACCTAGAAAAAAAAAATTGCACAACAGAGATTCTTTTTTTAGTTATTGTTCACTGTTCAGTGATAAATTTCAATACGAAATAATATTAATACTATAATATATAAATACATTATATTGTATAGTTTCGCGCGTGTATAAGTAGATTATAAAATAATAATATATAACTGGACTACGATTATTATTATACGATAGATAGAATAAATTATATGTCTTGCCAAATTGTGTTTCACTGTCTGTTTTGAAAACAACACGGGTTTTTAGATGAAAAAATTAGAAGCCTTACCGTTTTTCACGTCTTTCTGCGTGCGGGACACCCCTTGCACTCTGTCAGTGGACATGGTAGCGGCAACCGCTTTGGCCACAACTCCCAGTTTCTTCACGGGCCTGCCACCACTGGTACCGACGCCTTTGCTGTGGTTCCCGACCGTTGTGTCCATTTGGCGGTTGCGACCGTTGTAAAAGTCACCGCTGACATTTCCGGAATATGCACCCAGTGGCATATCAGACTGCGCTGTCGCAATATAATAATATTCTAATGTATTATAATAATTTTTTTATACTAGTCGTATGATGGGTATTTCGTTTTTCAGCAGTTACATATAAGTAAAGTATGTGCGCTACGAGGTAGTGCGGTGCAAAGTGCAAGATTCCTTGTGCGTGAAAAAGAATTAAAAAATAAATAAAAAACCGTTTTACGTGTTCGAAAACCATTAGGTACCGTATATTCCCGAGCGGGTGGCAGAGGGGTAAGCGCGCGTATCGAACACTGTGCGGCGACGACGTTCACGCTATACCGTAATCAACAACAACCTTAGCGGTGATAATATAAACGATAATTCGGCACCACGAACACTCATACATTTACAATGTACCAATGTATATAAGGTTAAGGTATGTGTACATGAAAACTTACCGCATGTACCTGAAATATATATAAATATATATATGTGTGTGTGTGTATGGGACAGCGCTGAATTTCAAAAATTTAGACAATGGCGGCCGACGGATAATGGATATATAAATAATTACTTGCGTACGTTAAACTGCAGTGGTAATTTTTATTGGCAATCGTGACCAAAAACGTTCGTGTGATTTCGCGACAGATCGGTCGACACGTCAACAATTTTTTACTCCGAATTCCGATGCCGAATGTACGAAATCCCGTGAGTGTGTAGAAATCACGTGTGATGTATGTGTATATTATTGTTGGGAATAATATTTATTATCGGATCTACATTATTGATTTTCCAGAAAACATAAATAACCCATATTAAATCTAATTATACAAATGATTTTTTAATATTTTAAATTATTGATCCAATCATTTATTTATCTATAGAGATTAATTTGGTCAAATTTGGACTAAATATATTTATAGGTACTTAAAATAGATATGTATTATAACTATTTTATTAAATAATATTGTATTGGTTGACCTGCTCAAAAATATAAATGAAAATCAATTAAAGTCGTACGTCATAATTTTGATTTATAAAATATTACCATGGTTTGAAATAATCTATCTAATTTTCGTGTTAAATTTGAATAATTCTAACGTTACACGAATTCGTAACTAAAAATTATTAAGCATAATATTAGTTTTAATCGGCCCATTTTAGTACTAATGGAATATGAAGATGAATAATTGTTGAAAATATGTAAATTTCCCAGAAAAAATATCTGCTGAAAATATAACAAGTACGATACGATTTGCTAAAGTTTCAAAGAACTGAAGAACTGTTGACAAAAATAACGTTGATAGGGCTATCGCATTTGCAAATCAAAACGTTCACAAGGTTTTCCAAAGACATTAATCACATGACGCTCTGAATATGCAATTTAACAACATCCTACTGTAACATAATCTGAATCGTACGTACTCAATCCCCGATTGTTTAACCTACAGGTCATCAGTGAAACGTAGTATTGTAGAAACACCATCCACACAACTTTTGAATGGGGCTTTAGAAATCTTTCAAGATGATAAAACAAAGTATGGATCAAATAAAATGACCATTAGTTCATTGTTCGGGTTATGAGAACAATAATGTTCTTGCTATTTATTATAATTATTTTATTCAAACGAAAGCGTGAAGATTAAAAACGTAAAATACTGCGGAAATGTTCAGAATCGAGTCCAACAAAAATTAAATGTACTTTAAAAAAAAAAAAAACGCGAAAGGACTTCAATTTTCTGTCAAGATTAACAATAAAATTAAATATAATGTGTACTTTGAAGGGTGAAAAGTAAAAGTTTTCAGTACTTTTCAAAATAATCAAGAAAAAAGTATTCAAAATTCAAAATAAGAATATTTAGTCAAAATCAAATGACCACAAAATCGAATTTGTTGTAATACAAAAATGAAAAATGATAGATGCTTGAAATTTTCACTTAATATTAACATAAGCGTTTTTTTAGATATGATATAATTTTTATTTGTTGTTAAAAATGTATAACCTTTTCAATTTGAATAGCTATAAAACTTGAAAATTCAATTTATGATTCTTTTAAAAGTTTTTCTCTTAAAAATATTTAAATTTTATACTCTATACTTATTTTAAAAAACATTTGATTTTTGAAGTTCAATTAAATATATTTTTATTATCATTTAAATTTAAATGTTAATACAATTATTATACAACTTGTACATATTTTAATTTTTATAAACAATAAGATCATGTTAAAGGGGAGAATACACATTAATGTAAATTACATGAAAATAATTATAGCTATTAGTGACACTTAGCTTAAAATGAAAAGATTAAATGTATATAAATAATACAAAAGAATTATGACTTCACTTCTTTCAAGTTTGCGTTGATGGTTTCTAAACAATAAAATCGTATAAAGTTAATTTATACGTGAAATATTATAGTTTTCTTGTCGAATCGTAATGGGAAACCAGATTTTAATAACAGCTATTTCTTAACTGATTTAATAGAAAAGTATAGGTATTCAGGGTTAAAAGAATGGTGTAATTGTGGTTTTGCGGAGTGTTGAATTTTAAAATACTTAAATTTTTTTAAAGGTTAATTATTTTAATCTTTATATTTGTATTCTGTATGTTTGTGTTAAGTTTAAGAATATCTTATCAATTAAAAATTAAGTTTTTAGGAAAACAAATTTGATTTCCCAGTAATATTAAGAATTAGTTCAACAATATTGTATAAAAAAAAAATGACTAATAATAATATAAATAAATATATATATATACATATATGTGTTGTATATATGTTGAAAGAGATATTTTTAAATGTGCAATTTTCTATCATATATGTGTATATTAGTGTGTGTGTGTGTGTGTGTAATTGAAGTAAAAAACGAACTGCAAAAGTTTTTTTTTATTTTTGATAAAAATACTTTTAATAATTTAATATTGATTATTATAAATTAAAAAAAAAAAAATCTTAGTTTCAAAAGAATGTAATAATTTAGATAAAAATGTAATAACTTATTAGTATAATTGGGATGTAGTTAAGCCGACAAAAATAATAATTTTAAAGTGTATAAATCATATACACGTATTTTAAACATAACAAACTTTTAAACTTAATCTCTTCAGCAATATTTAAACGTACATAATCTTTTTCTTGATTTGTAAATTTCATTTAAAATCTATAATTAAAGTAAACTATGATATTTTTCTTAATTAATTTCAGAAAAAAAAATGTTCGAGTAAAACATTAAAATTAATAGGGTATTAAAATTGAATGAATAATACTCAACTAAATCATTAATTGATGCATTTATGAAAAATATACTTAAGTATTATCAGAAAAAAGTAAAAAATGTAGGTATTCGAAAAACCATATAATTTGATATTTTTCAAAATAATTTTTGTTTGATATTTGTATTTAATTCTAACTAATCTAATTTTTCTTATTTTATTGATTTTATTTTATTTTAGAATGAATCAAATATAATTATTAGTTATTGATCAGCTAATAACTCGTTTTGTATGTTAAATTACGATTATGCTAATATTAAAAATTAAAAATGTAACAAGTTGACAAATAAAAGTAACGTTAATATATGTTCAATAATATAAACTTGTTAGTTGTTACTACGACGTTGAAAAAATATATTAAACAGTTTTTAATTTATATTTCCCTAACTGTAGACTTTCATATATACATTGTTTACCTATTATGATCAGTACCGATATATTAGTACGCGTTTTGTATAATTATGTGAATATACTTGTTAGGACTTACCTTGTATGTATGTCGTTAACTTCTATCCATAAGTAACTACGATAAACTTCCAAACCATTAAAACGTGTTGCCGTGCGTTACCAATACCACACAGACATTGATTGTATCGCTCCCTTCCATTGCTAATTAACAAATGCGTGTTCAGCTGACCTAAAAGTACAGTTAAACGTAATCCCACTGCTTAACAGCCGTTGTTTACTTAAACGTTATTGAACAATAATGACATCCTACAATAAACGTTCAATTCTAAGTTGGTGTGAAAGTATAAATGAAGATTATAGTATTGTTTAAAATATGGCGTTTATGATAATTTTTTTTACTTTATATAACCTATAGTAATACAAATGTTAGTTATAAATAATAGCTATATCATAACTTATAATTGTATAGAAATATTTTATGTGTAGATTTATTTTTTTTTGTTAGCTGCAAGAAACAAAAGAAAGAATATTTTTCTCCCGTTTGGAACAAATATAGTTGTGTACTAAATAAGTGGGAAGTAGGTACACGTGGGATATCATATCTCGTCCCTTTGCCATGGCATACTAATATTTTGTGTACATAATAAAAACAAACGACACTTAAATGAACCAGAATAATTCACGTTATGTTGAATAAAAATTACTTTTATAAATTTAACTTGATCTCTTATCACACCGAAAAGGTCTAATTTAAATTAGGTTAACTATAGATGAAGCTTTTACGTGCGTATTTTGTTATGGTTATTAGAACTACTCCGAGCACAGTTTCTATTTGTAAATAAAAATGTTAAGTGCCCGTACACATTTTTTTTCTAAAAATACTTAAAAACTATTTTTAATGTTGATACAATACATCTTATATACATATAATATAATTCGATATTATTTATATTATTTTTATAGAAAAAAAAAAACATGATGCATATAACAAATAAAAAATATTATCTCATATACGAATAGTATAAAAAAAAAAAAAAAAAATAATAAACATCGATATAACTATACGTATTACATATCAATAAATATAAATAAATAAAATCATTTTGGTAAATAAAATACCTTTACAATTAAAAAGTACACTAGAAAAAATAATTTATGTAATCAATAATAATGAAAAATACAATTATTATTATTTTTTAATTTAATATATACATATACATAAATATTTATAATAAACATAATTATTATGATATTATTTTGGTGTAATAAATATTTCTCTAGTATTTAAATTCCATTTTTAATAACACAGAATACAATTATTTCTATTACAGTAGTATAATAATTATATATACTTAGTTAAATTTCAATACTCGTCACATTTTATAGTGTTTAACTTAAAAAGAGTAATACATATAACATCATCTGAATAAACATAATACCTATGTACTATGTAGTATAATTATATAATAATATACAGTCATATTTTACTGGAATGTAGAAATATTAAATTTTTAAGTTATTTTATTATTAAAGTTCATAATACACTATGTAATAAATGATAGTTCTTCTTAAATAATTCATGATTATATCACCATAAACTCTATTTTATAAAAACTTACATTTCTTTATGCTACAGTAATATTATATTAAAACAATTTTTATTGGTATAAAACTTAATTTTTTTTCACATCAGTTAATAATAAATAAAACCTAAAAGTACTCATTACCAAGGCAATAAAAAAAAAAAAATAATTAACTCGATGAAACTTAAGAAAACTTAATAACTGATGCAGTATTTAATATTATTTGTTTTTTAAATTTTTATAATAGTTTTATTTTATTATAATTTAATTAAAGAGAATCACAAATATTAAATAACACAATTTTGTGGAAATTAATTAGTGCAAGTATATTCTATATGGATTCCAATGATTTGAAACGCTAAATCATTCATGATTGAAGTTATCTCTAGTATAAATCTTACAATACGGCAATTTTTCTTATCTATTGTTTTTTTTTTTTTTGTTTTTTTGTTATCGATAATATTCATTTATTTTTATAGTTTTTATAAAGCTGAGCCAAATGTTTATGGATGACACGATTTTTTTTTTCATTTTTTTAATGAATATCAATATGTGACAATGTCCATATTTTATGAGACGAGTTGAATTTTTGGTTTTTAGGGCGGAATGTATAACATTTGGACTTTATGTAATGAATATAAATGTATCTATGTCATTTTATCGTATTTATCGTATTCATTTGATCTTAAATATTTAGTTCAAGATCAGATTTTAACCGTATCTTTATGATCACTTTAATACTTTGAACTTACCAGTAATATAGTTTTACGGTTTCCAATCTTGAATCTAATATGATGTGAATGTACTAGGAAAATATTTCAAACTACTATAAGGTTTATAAAATAACTGCAACAAATTTTAAATTGAATATTTTTTAAGAAGTTACTGTAATTTATTATTACCTTATCTATTTCGCTAGTTATTTACATTAGTACTAATGCAATAGTACGATATTAAAATTATAGGCTTTGTAGTGACTAAATACGATCGATCATTAGTGTATATCCAGCGCTTTTATCTCTGATTTATGGAATTCAAAGTTCAAAAGAATTTATATTAATTTTATATATAGTGCCATTTAATTATAGTTCTGCTGCTGAATGAGTTGACGCGATCTACAGCAGTCGTAAGTACAAAATACAAACACTAAATGCACCACTAACGCTCGTTTCCATCTATTCGAGACACAAACAGCGCAAATCGGTCGACAGTCACATCTTACCTGATCAGGGGAGAAGTGGAACACGGGACAAATCCGGTGGTATGCGTATGGAATTGCTTGATTATTTTCTATGAACAACATGTCAATGACGACGACCACCGACCATTTCGAGTTACAGAGTGTAATTAATATTGATTCATACTAGTATTCGTTTTAATAAATTATAATATCCATAAATTTTACATTCAATTTTGCATTTGGTATGTGTGTTTTATCCTCGATTCTTACACAACACCAATTTTGACCAAACAACGATAATCAAAGAACAACAACTATTAAGTCATCGCAGCCGGGACGTCAGAGTCTAACTCTTTCAATTGAGAACTAATTTAATCCATTGTTTTCAATCTAAACAGCAGATAATGAGCTTAGGAGAATACTTTAAGTATACTACATATGCTCACTAGATAGTAATTATTTTCTTATCATAATATTATATACTATGAAAATATATATATCAATTATTTATAATACCATTTTCTAACAATGTATAACTTTTAAAATGTTTTAACTCTTTTTGAACCATTTATTGAGAATTTTAATTTTCTATTTTTGTTTTTAAGTCTTTTTTGTTTTATATGTGTGATAAAATTTTTAAAATTAAATACAATAAATGATCACAATATATTTTATCATACGCACAATACAATTTTCAAAATGTTAGAGATTATCTTTACTTAGATTTTTTTTTTGTTTTTTATGTAATGACTTGTCACTAAATTTAACACATCTAATAGAATAACATATTAATGACAAGGTATACACTATATCTAATATATAGTAGAGTAGCTTAATTAATATTGATTATATTAAAGGAGACTGACAAAACTAACAATACCCTTAACATCCTAAATATTATATTATAATTCAAATAATATTATTACTAACTTAATAACCTACAATTTTGCTTATTATTTATCAAATCATTAGTAACTTATAAAAATATTAATATTAATAAATAAACAGTGTATTTATTTCTAAAAAAAGTTATATTTAAAAAAATAAAGTATCATACAACTGATGTTTCATAATTTATTGTGCCTTTTTCGTAAGTAAAGCATAAAGTTTATTATAAATGAACAATGTTTTACACCTATTATTGTTCTACGCAATTAATATTATATCAACTTACTTAACTTGTAACGTTATTTAAATAACTTCAACATAATAAATTAAATACTTGATTCAATATTAAGTCATGACCCTTTTTAGAAAAATATTAACTTTTCGAATATAAAATGAAACAAAAAGGACGCCAAGTAAAATTATTTACCTAAAGAATTTTGTTAATACAACACAAATAAAAATACACTTCATATAAAATAGACATTCATTCAATTCAACTTTTTAAATAAATATTTAACCTAGATAAAAATAAAACCTACTTATGATTACAATAGGTACCATTAAAGAAGATGATTTATTTATAATAGAAAACATCAAAATATAATAAAATACATTAAACTTATTTAAAATTGTAATTCTTGTATTTTATTTTATTTAAAAAATAAAAATATGAATTGTATTAACACAAATTGGAAAATCTGAAGTACAGGAAAAAAGCTATGAAAAACTTTTAAAAATATAACTTTGCAACACATACTGTAAAAATGTTTTAGCTTTTAAATTAATATTAAGGAATAGCAGTTAATATTTATGGTAATTTTTTGTAGCCGAAGCCAAATTCTTGCAATCAATAGTAAAATATACTTGCAAACTATTGTTTTATAATATTTATTTTTTTGTGAACATACAATTTGAACTGATAATGTAATATCGAAAAAAAAGTTTACAGTTATGTAGCTAAATAGCCTATCCAGAGTGCCGTGCAATAATAATAATATGTTATAGTAGATATATTAATTTTAAAAATAATCATACCTATACAGAGAATTTAATGTTTAAACCTTGTTGTTACCATTAAATTGTATTAACTTATTAAATAATTGTTTATACATTATAACTTAATAGCTAAATTGAATATATCTAACACTAATGATTATTGATAGTAACTCTATATAGTATATTATATGCTGTCCTACATTGCGTCTTTTATAAACTATAAGACCGACTTTGTTTTCATTAGTTTAATAAATTATGCGAGTAAAACGAAAAATAAAGTATAATAATATATTCAGGCTTAAAGTGGTATAAAGTATATATTCAATAAATGCTTTAAAAAAAATCAACAATAGTATCAATTACTGGTAGTTGTTTCATAATCATCACGATTTACAGTAACAATCGTAACGGATATAACAGGCAAATAATTCTAAAAAGTATTTTTTTGTTCTATAATATCCGTATTATACGTACATCTATAATATAAAAAATGCTTTTTATTTGA